ATGTATTGGACAAAACGATCAGTGTACAGTACAAAATGGGGAGGGAGGAACCTGAACAGTCTTGAGAACAAACAGGGAAGCTTTATAGTACAGCTAAAGCCACGTGCCCCGGCTAGGCAGGGAAGAGAGTAAAGGATGCAGGAACACAGAGGTGAAGAGCAGAGACCATAGTGGGAGAAACAAAGTAAAATCATGCTGGGGGAATTAATTCAAGGCAAGTGGAGAAAGGAAGTAGTAGCTCAGCAAGAAGTGGGGAGGCAAAGCCAAAAGCGAGATAGGAAATAAATTACTCTAAATGGAGAAAGAGCTAACACTGCTCAGAAGCAGAGTGCAGCAAGACAGTGCAGCTTGGGAGCCATAACAGTGTGCCCCAGCTCAATAGGAAATAAAGCCTTGTCTTCCCCACTGAGCCCTTCCACCTCCCTGGAGCCCAGATTTACTACAACCCACAGTGATCCCGGGGTATCATCATCAAAGCAAGCTGCCACACGAATCTGGAGCAGCAGGCTGAGGTGACAGGATTTTGAACAGTGCAGGAAGGAAAGAAACACCAAGATCCATCTTACTTGTGCCCATATGACAGGTTTAAAATAGACCCCTGCTTTTGCTGAGTGTTCTGGAAGGGATGAAGAAGAACAGAATTGGGATTTATTAAGTAGTTATTAAAATTTTCCACTTGCTACAAGTTTTTCAGATCACTGGTTTGACAAAAACAAACAAACAATTTTCAATTAAACCCCCCGGAGGATTGGAAAATGTTAGTGTTAGCAGTATTTCTGGAAGGAAGTCAGTTTCCTTGAGCACAGTTCTCATATGTAACACTGGCCAGTTTTCATCATCTTGTGTATGACATAACTTAACCTCTTGCCCTTCAAGCTCTTTTTGTTCAATTCTTTTGGTTGTTTGTTTTGCTATTGTTTGGCAATATTTGTATTTGTCTCATATGCTGGGTTCCAAAAGGAGACCTGCAGCTCTCCAGCAACACCAGCCTTTTTGAAAAGACAGCATCTCCTCAGCTCCCTCACAGAACCCCATGTTCATTTACATGGGGTAAAGCCAAGGCTCATTTACATGGGTTAAAGCCAAGGCTCTCTATAGGAAACATTCCCCATTCTTTGCACTCACAAAGACAATAGATAATTTCCCACTCATCTGACTGACTTCTGGACACAGCTGTGGATAAGGTTTGCGAACATCATCAATTCAAGGCCAGGATTTAAGTAGAGCTGGAGGAGAAAAGTATTTCCCAGTCCAGAAAACTCCTACAAAGCCTCTCCCACTCCAGGAAAATAAAATACAATATGAAAAGAGTTTATCAGGCACCAATTAAAACCATTCTGTGAAATGAAAGAAGCTCAGACTGAAGTCTTTGATGAATCTCACATATGAATGAGCACTCAACTACCTTTTCTCTGTCTCCCTCTGAAATATCCACCTTGGCATGAGAAACCTCCTTTGCCTGGGGTTCAGGGGAACCAATGCCTCAATACATGCTTGGGGAACATGCATTGGGGAACAGCACTGCATTCACCATGCGAAAACTTTGTCATGAAGACACTTCACTTGTGAGCCTCTCTTTCACATCACATGCAGGATTATTGCTCTGTTATTCACAGAGGGTAAATTTTGCTGTCAGTCATGCCTGGAGCAGTACTGTGATTTGAGCTGAAGTGATGTGGTTTTAAACTCATTGGGTGGTACCTCATCCACAACTCACCAGAATCATTAAATTCAGCAAAACTAACAATCTAGCCTTAAAACAAAATGTGACAAAAAAGAGTTTATCATGATTCTTACTGATCTGACCTGCCAGGTTTTCCATACTATAAAAACAAAACAAAACCAAAACCAAACAAGCCAAAGCCAAGCAATACTTCAACCTTACAGAAAAGAGAAACCTGAATTTTTCTTCCCAGATAAAGGAAGATAAACTCCAAAGTCCTAAATTCAAATCCAGAGCAGAGACATTTGGTAAGACATAACTTCCCTGCAGAAAACATACTTCTTCACTACACAGCACTTGCAGCATAACCAAAGCAGAAGAGCCTGCTTCTTGTGGGATGCTTTTGTCTTGGAAAAGATAGTAACGCAACCAAGAGGAGCTGCAGCAAACTGCAAGGGAGCCTTTGCAAACAAGCCGAATCAGTAAAAGCAATATGTGGAGAGCAGTGAATTCCTCACTCCTGGAGCATTTCTGACGTAGGGTAATTCTGTGCATGGATTTCTCTAATGCAAAAGGAAATGGATTTATGAGCAAAACTGACTGCTCCTCTCACTCATAAAACAATCAGAAATAAACTCATGTGGTTTTCCGAAGTACCTTGCTAGCAGGCCAAGACAGTCTTCTTGTGCCTAAAATACAGGTACTCACATAGAGGACAAAGTACATTTCAATTCCTTCTTCCTGCAGCATGTGCAGCAAACTGAACCAGGCCTGTGCTAATTCTCAAGGGAGATAATTAATCCTGTGGAATGACAGTATTGGAAGAGGAAGTGCTTGGTCTGCACTGGCCCACAGCTGCCAAAGATGAGTTTGCAGAGTGAAATGTGCACTTCTGCATTAAGGCAGTTCGTGATTACAGCATTTGCTCCAGTGATCAAAAAGAAAGGACAAGATCCCAGCAACTTCTGCTGTGGCTGTTTTCACCACCAGCCCTGGCTTTCTGGAAAAGCAGAGGGACAAGGACAAGGCTCAGTGCTCGTGCAGCAGAGCCTGCAAGGACAATCAGGAAGCATCAGCCATGGCAATCAATAGCTGGGGTGGAGGCACGACAGCCCTAATGCCTGCAATCAAGGTGGGAGGGATATCTTGGGGGAGAAAAGGGAAAGATAAAAATGAGGAATGAGACACAACGACCCCACCTCACTGCCCAGCACTCCCACTTACTTTCTTTGGAACCTGACGACAGGGTCATCCAGTAGATCAGTGAAATCCAGTTTCCTCCCCTTCTCTATGACGTCCCGGTGCTTGCGCACGAACAGTAACCTGTTCCAGTGTCTCACCGCTCTCACAGTGAAGAACTTCTTCCTAACCTCTAAACTTTAAACCTCTTGTGTTTTAAAGTCATTCCCTCTTGAAGAAGAAGCCGCGGCGGGCGTTGTGCGGGTCCGCGTCCGTCTCTGAGTACTTGTGGTGCACACGGTGGTCTCGGCTCCACTCGTAGATGTCGTTCTGCACAGAAAGCATGGCACGGTGAGAGGAGAGAGGTCGTTCTGCACAGAAGGCATGACAGGGTGAGAGGAGAGAGGCTGGGTGCTGTTCTGGCATACCACCTCCAGCGCCTTCCCCACACAGTAACAGCAACAAGCCCCTCTGATGCTCCTCAAAACATGTCATTGACTAAACACATCCTAGGTGACCCCAGCTTTGCAGCCAGCCAGCCCATCACACCGCTCCTGACAGTGCCAACACAGAATGGGACCTGCTCTAGGAACTGGGGACACAGACTGGACACATCCCAAGACTGGAAGCCAACAGCCTCTTGGGAGTTACCATCATCAGTCTGCCCTGGTCCTGCATCCTCCCTGTGTTTGCTGTCTGAGGATGGACACTGAGCTGGAAGGACCAGGTATGTACACGTTTACATTATTATTATTTTATGACCCTGACACAGGCAGCTTGAACACTTGTTTTCAGGGCACTACTGTGCAGGGCCACTCAGTTCCAGCATCCTTTTTCTAAGCTGGTTGTGGCTGGTTACTACTGACACCCTTCATACACAAAAGCAGTGCTGAAAGTGGGACAGAGCTTGTGGAACACTACACATGCCTTTTCCTGACCTGAACAGGAAGGAGCTGAACTTGCTCAGCCTTTGGAGGGATTCATCTTCCACAACAAAACCAACATCCCCATTTAAATTACTGCTCTATCTGCAGGGATGTATGCAAGAGCACGGCCTTCCAGTACTTAAAACAGGGCCTAAAGGAACCATGGGAAGGGACTGTTTATCAGGGAGTGTAGTGATAGTAGTAATGGGTTTAAAGTTATGGAGGGGAAGTTCAGGTTAGATATGAGGATGCTGAGACACTGGCACAGGTTGCCCAAAGAAGTTGTGGCTGCCCCATCCCTGGCAGTGTCCAAGGCCAGGTTGGATGGGGCTTTGGGCAACCTTGTCTAGTAGAAGGTGTTCAGGCCCATGGCAGAAGAGCTGGAGCTGGATAATCTTTAAGGTCCCTTCCAACCCAAACCATTCTATGAATAAGATCTCAAATGAGATATACCTGATTTATGGGAAATCAAGTCTTGCATTTGCAGCCAAGTCTGGAATAAGTGTCTCACACCCATAACATCAGCTCAGCATTGGATCCAGAGCAGATACAAAGTAAGTTCAGTCCTGTCTCTGCTCAAGCTGTCAGCAAACATAGGTCACTGTAAATGGGATTGTGTATATTGCAGGGAGGAAGTGACGGACTGCAGTTTCAGATCATAAAGTGAGACTTTGAATTTACTCAGCCAAAGAGATTTCAGCCTCCCAGTTTGCTCTGCAGCACACACTGGCTATTGGAATAAACCGGCAAGTTTTGCAGTGGTGCTGAGCTATTATTGCAGGGCATTATAAGCATGCACAACAGTTGCAAAACACAGGCCACACTCTCATCTATGAACTGAATTGTCTTATGTCAGCACCAAAACAAGGAAATGTTAGTTAATGTCCAGATCCACAACAGTGTGAGCTTTAATCAGAGAATGCTCAGTGGAGTGTGCTTTCCTGTGCTACTTCCATCTTTGCACAACCATGGACATACCCAAGCAGTAATACCCAAAGGAATGTCTTACGTTGCTTTTAGGAATGGCAGTAGCACCCACGACACCCAACTGCAGCAGCTTTGACCCCAGCAGAACTGAGCAAACCATTTGTGATGCCTGTGAAGTAACTGCAGCGCAGCAGCCAGCATGGTGCTGAATATACTGCAGGACACAGTAAGTCCAGGCTGATGACAACTGTATGTGTATTTTGTGAGATAAAAGCCCTGTGCTGAAAGCATCACAGAAATCATTGCTGCCAACATTGAGAGAAAGCACTGAGGCCATCTGTGCTGCTGAGGGGACTCCAGGAACAACTATAAAGAGCAGCTAAAGAATTCAGCTCAAATGCCTGTGCCCATTTTAGCCTAGCAAAGATGCTCTGCCTGCAAAAGCCTACAAGGGACAAGCAAAGGACAAAAGCCCATTGCACTCAGTAGTGCTCAACCTTGTATTGTCATGTTGTGGCTGGGAGTGGGCTGGGGATGAGGGGAACATATTTCTGCAGCACTGACTCATTGAGAGGAAGGCAGCCCCTTACCAGTGCTGTAATATGTTGCGCCTTAATTGTCCAGTTGCAGAAGAAAACAAAGTAAACTGAGTGAAGCAAAGGAAGTGATCAAACTCCTCAGTGAGATCTCCAAGGGGAGATCTTTACCTTGCTGCTGTCTTGGTTTTTTCCTGCAGAGAAATCAAAGGGAATGAAAGGCTCTGCACTGCTTCAAGTGGCTTCAGAAGGAGTAAACAGAAGACTGGAAAATGCCAAGATTAAGTAATTTAAAAATAAGATGGGTTATGGAAGAAGCACACCTAGGAAAGGTCCTCTTTATTAGCCAGAAATTTATGGGGGGTTTTTGAGTGAAATTATCGATCAGTTTCCACAAGAGCACTTGAACTCTTTGTGGGACAGCAAATAACTAGGTCAAAGTAATGACACTGAGAAATTAACTTGGTCTCTCATACCACAGCATCATGCTGTTGACAGTGATGGAGACATGAGGTTTCATTAGCAGGTCCCTTAACAGACCTGCAGACCACAACATGACAACAAACTGGGCTATGTAACAACTTCAGTGTACTGACACGAGCCTCCATGCAACCACTGATGCTGTGTGCAAATGCTCACAGAACAACCTCAGCTGAACAGCTCAGCTTGTTTCAGAGATGGGCAGGAGCAACAGTACAACAGTTAGCAGAGGAGACACCAGCACATCCCAAATGAGATGCTGAAACTTAAGCATTAGAAGATCAAGCAGACATAATCCAGGTATTACTTATTTCTGAAACAGACATGTGGCAGCAAGAAGCAGAGTCTTTCAAAACTCTGAGAGATTCACTCCAGATGAAGAAACACAGCTCAGCGTGCTCCAATCACTAAAAAATGCACTGGCTACAGGGCAAAAATGGCTGCATCTGATGGCATTTCAGAGGAAGCACAGCATGTAACAGGAGCATCAAGTTAAAACTCTGAAGTAGGGTTTCCCCTGCCCTTCAAGAAGTCTGAGTATTTCCTCAATTTTCAGCACCCAGGGATGCTGCAGGTATTTCCAATGCTGCCTCTTCCTCCCAGAGCCAACGTGAGTGAGATGGACCCGAAAACTCATTCACTATCTGCTTGTGGTGGTGAAAACAGCCCCTAGCAGACAACAGATGTCATGGTGATTAGGAGCAGGCTCAGACTGTTTAAAACATACAGTGGGTGATTTGGCCTTTCATTTTCTTTCCAATATGAAGGGCACAAAGGTGGCTTGAAGCTACTCTGAAGTACTTCCCTGCCTCAGAATCACACCATGTCCTCAGCCAAAAGCAGTGATGAAGCCAAGGCATCCGAGAGCAAAATCCATAGCAACAGAGGAGCAGAATGCAAAGAAATCCCAACATGCAGGCTCACTGCAATCAGCTCCACACATTCATTTAAACTACTTATGATAGATCAGATAGCTGTAAAACAGGAGGACAGAACCAGAGGCTTCTCAAAACAAGTGTTTAACGTGCTGAGCAAAGGGCTTGTAAAGCTGTGCAAGGAACTGAGTGGCACAAAGCAGCTAAAACACGGCTCAGAATATGGGTCAGAGGGTTATCGTCAAAATGGACACTTTCCCGTGTTTAAGCAAAGGCGCTGTGATCTTTGCAATGTCGAGAGGGATTAGCTAGATCAATTCTTTCCACCTTAAAAAAGGGGTGGTAAATGAACAGTACAGAAGTAGATCAAACAATTCTTTTCATCTTCTATCAAGGTACATGAACAAGTCAACCAAACAGACTGAAGGGAAAAAAATCTGGAAACTCAAGGCACAACATACATGTGCTACTTGGTGCTACAAGGGGTTATAGCAGCCAAGCTTGGTAAGTTTAATGTTAGTACAGGCTCAGATCTCTAATCTCAGCCAAAGGAGGAACTAAATTCACACCAAGAAGATCCTGGTTCTGGACTAACTCCTACCACCAGCTGGGTGTTACACAAACATTTTTGAGGTCGAAGACTGCCTATCAGCAAGTATAGAGCTAGTAACACACTTCTTTGCAAACGTATTTGAATTTTACTGGTGAAAAACACTGCATAAACCAGAGATAAATGAAGACTGTGGGAGGATACCTGCTCTCCTTTCTGGGCACATCAAAATCAACTGCCTGGATGGACAAAGAGATTTGATTACACAGACATATTTATATCAAATTGGCCCTTACAAAAGTTTCCACATTGACCTGTGATGTGTGGGGCCTGACCTGTGCAACAGATAGGCTGCTGAGGTGCTGAGCCCCTGTGTGGACATGTTTAACGCGGTCCTTAAGTAATCATTGCTCCTGGACTGTCCAGTGCGTACTGTGACATGGCTGTCTCTACTGCATGGGAGAGAAAGCTGCCTGGAGGCCAGGAACCTGCATGGGCAACCACAACCCCACCTGGAAAGCCATGGAGTTCGCAGCAGCCAGGAAGATCCGCAAAGGCAGCTTAGCTTTGTAGGATCGGTGGCTCCACAGGCGATGCGCACCAGCCGTCACTCCCAGGGCTGTCATCAGGAAACAGAAGTATGCTGAAAGACACAAAAACAAAACACAGGATGTGCCAGGGGACGACTGACATTACTTTTGCTTTCTTTGATGTAAAGATGATCCTTGCCCCTGCCTGCCAGTGCCTGCAGGGTCACTCAGAAGATAAGGCTGGGTAGACAGGAGGTGATGTGCTCAGACCACCTCCTCCCCCCCCGCCTAAGCCCCAGGAACACTTAGTTCCACTTCCCACCCCTCCCCATTTAGCCAGTGAGTTGTTCAGAAGGGTTTGGCAGCACCGAAGCACCATGCTGTGACGTGTTTACACAGTGCACCTTTGCCAAGTACAGTGGTGTGAGAGTTCATTGTCCATGTCAGCAGAGTATCAACAACTCTTCTAAGAGGGCACTGTCAGGCCCTTCCAGACACGTCTTTGCTCAAGTCCAGCGTGTCAGCTAGTTTAACAGCATCGCCTCCCACCCCTAAAGATATGAGCTGTGTCAGAGTTCCCACAATAAAAACTTCTCTTATCGGGAATGAGCTCATGATTCAGTAATAAAAACACACCAAGAAGCAGAGCATTCACCACCTCCCTCAGTCTCAGGAACTATTTTTCCTTCCCTCAGTTAAAATATTGCCCAAGTAAACTTGTTTTGAGCATTTTTCAGATGGCCAACGCAGCATGGGAGCAGGTCTGTTCCTTACTCACCACACTGCCTCCAGGCTAGACACAACCCAAACACATGCAGCCCACAGCGTACACCCCATGCTTCAAATAATGACCCAACTGAATACCATCGCAGAATTGGTTGATGAGAAGCTCAACATGAGCCGGCAGCGTGTGCTTGCACACCAGAAACCAACCGTACGCTGGGCTGCATTAAAAGGAGTGTCAAGGGAGCAGGTGCTGCCTCTCTACGTGAGACCCCACTGGAGTGCTGTGTACAGTTCTGGTGCCCTCAGCATAAGAAGGACATGGAGCTGTTGGAGCAAGTCCTGAGGAGGCCATGAGGATGATAAGAGGGCTGGAGCACCTCCCGTATGAAGACAGGCTGAGCAAGTTGGGGCTGTTCAGCCTGGAGAAAAGAAGGCTGCGTGGAGACCTCATAGCAGCCTTCCAGTATCTGAAGGGGGCCTGCAAGGATGTTGGGGAGGGACATGTCACTAGGGACGGTA